CGGGCCGGCCGAACTGTATCCGGCATTTCGGGCACGTGGGCATGCAGCCCAATTGTATATAGTGGTGTCCGTTGTCCGGTAGGGCAGTCAGTTCAATGTGGTGCCCCTTACTTGCGCACGCAGGGGTTCTTTGATCCGAAAATTTTCCGGAAAAAGTATAATCTTTTGCATTAAAGAAAATTGGAGATACATTTGAATATTTCCAGAAAAAAATGGGAACAATGAAACTTCTAAGAAAAAAGAAAGTTGAGATATTTAAAAAGAAAAAAAATCTTTCTGTGAAATCCGCTTTTTTGAAAAATTAAAATCCCTATACGCGCTCGTGCTGGCCGTAGCGAGAGTAAAAGAGAGGGAGAGGGAAGGGGGCGAGGGGCACGACGAGGGCACGGTCGCACGCGCTGGCCGCCACGCCAGGTGCCCAGCAGGTGACAAATCAATCAATGCGCCGGTGCCTTATCACCTGTCGCTGCTGTCGCCTATGACGTCGCGCGTGACAGACGGCGGCGTTATGGAGAGGGTCATGGTGTCGGACCAGCATGGGCGAGCAGCGGCGAGCAGCCCTGCCTGCAGCGAGTGCAGGTTGCGTGCTCGGCTAATGGGCCGTGAGCCGGAGCAGCGGTCGTGTCGTCGGGCTCATTGTTTTATGTATGCGATGTTCTGCGCGGGGAGGGAGGGAGAGGGGAACGAGGAGGAGGGGTCGGGTGTCCTCTCTAGCCTGGCGTAGGACAGCGAGGTGGATGTCAAAAACTTTACTTTGGCCAACAGGAAATACGGCTGAAAGATGACACAGCGGCATGAAACAATCCTCGGCTTGATAGCAGAGAATAATTTCGCTTGCTGCTTTTCAGAGAATTCCCGCTCATTTCCTTCAGGTGACCGTGCGACCAGGCCGCTTGTGCTCTTACTTGGGAATTATTAGAAAATTGATCGGATGAGAGCCCGCGACAGCCCCCGAGCGAGGCTCCCGCCGCCGCTCGCTCGTCTCACAAGTCATTTCCTCTGCGACCCGACGCCGCCGCCCGCGCGGCCCCAACCCCCCGCCCCCGCTGCTCCCCGCTCTCCTTCCCCACCGCTCACCCCTTCCCTTCCACTGCAATGCGGACGCAATTATTTTCGGAGCGTTTTGCCTTTTGTCGTGCCAAATCCGTTGCACTGCCTCGCATGATACGAAGATTGCTTCGCGTTTCTCAATTTTTATTGCGTTTCTCTTTTTCCCGTCTCATGTTTCATATAATTTTGGCGGCAGCTGCTGCAGTTTTAAGTCTAATGACTTCCATAGGGGTCCTTTCCATTTTCACGGTAAAAACGGGTCCTTGATGTTTAAGGGCCAAGACACCGATTCAATGACGCCCCACGTGTTTTTCCCTAACCTCAAATCAGTGTCTCGGTCCTTGAACATTTAAATGAGCTGTGTTTACCGAGTTCCGCCGAGTTCCCCTCAAAAATTATCATAAACTTGGTGCCTGGCTAAAGTCGGTGAATTATGAGCTCCTCCCACACTGCAATTAAGGCTGTCTCAAATATATGCGCCAAAAGGCGTATGCTACAGGATCCAGAGCGATATTTTGCGTATTGATTCTAGACATCTTTGACAGAACCGACCGAGTAGGCAACCCGATCCGATGACTGACTACGACCATCTATACGACGCAAAACTTCCAGAGGTCGTCAAATGGGCCGCGCGGCCCCGCGTGCGGCAATCGCACCCCAAACCCTCGAATATATGTATGTAGGCGGGTTGTTGTAACGTAACACATTCTAAGCGGTACCTATACGATAGTTTACCTCGGTTTCCCATTACCGGAACGGTGCAAACATTTTGGCGTAGACTTCTACTTGAATACCCCCTCTGGGGTCCCGCGCAGATGGACGGGGTAATGTGTGAGGGGAGGGATTTGATGGCGGCCCTGATCCCTCTCGGCGCGCGGAGCTCCGACACCGCCCCATTACAGCGGGGCATTCGACGGGCCAATCGGGGGGAGAGAGTCGTCATTGAAAGTCTTGCCTGGCAGCCCTGGAATCCTCTGGATCAGCTTCACTGCCGGGCCCGACGGCAGCCACGGCCGTAACCCGCCGAGCGAGTCCCGCACCCCGCTCTGCTACTGCTGTGCGCACACCCCCGCCCTGTACGGCAAATGATATATAACAAGAGAAACAAAAAGATTTTAATTGCCTTTGGTGCAATATGAAAAGGAAACTCAATAAAAACGCCCGCACATGGGCGCTCTCGTACGCGTCTGTTAAATTTGCCGCTTTTATTTTTGTTACGTTTTCCCCCACTTTTTTTTACAGGACGACGGCTTCGAATTGGAGCTCTCTTTGTGCCTTTCACTGACAGATGGGGGTGAAGGGGGAGAGATATGGGGCTATACCGAGGGGATAAACCCCTTTTTTTTTCATTTCAGATATGAAACGAAAGATATCGTGTCGTATGACGATCGACTTTCATTCGCATTTCGACAAAGAAATCATCCCACGTACGCACTCTGCGGGAGCCAGGGCAGGGAGGTTTGCGTTTGTGTTGCTCTGCACTGTAGGGGCTTAAAGGCCAGGACGAGAGCCAGACGGTCGGGTGAAGGTTTCCTGCTCAGGTACTGAGGTTTCGGTCGGGTGAACGGCGTTCGGCTCCGTTCTCCTTTCATAGATGGGGGCGGGGCGGGGCGACGCATTCGGGGTGCGCTTTATTGCGCCGTCAAAGGGGACACCGCCTCGCACCCTGCTCGCACTGCGTCGTTGGGCCGCGCTACCGCGCGACGCCGCGCCACGCCACGCCCCGGGGGATCGCGATCGCGGCCGCCAGGTATTTCTGCACTATGATAGGCCGGCGGGCAAGGGCGTGGTGGCGTGGTAGGGGTGGGCGGGCATGGGCGTGGTGGGGCGGGGGATGGTGGGCGGGCAAGGGCGTGGTGGGGCGGGCGCGACGCGGTGGGGCGTGTGGCGGGACGCGTTTGGCGGGCTGGTCCACTGTCCTCGCGATCGCGGGTCAACACATCACATCACACTTCGCGCACCGGGGCGCGACGCGGGTGGGCCGCGGCCTTGGCACTGGTCGCACTGCTCACCCCTCACCGCTCGCTCTCACTCGCAGATATATCGGCCGTTATACTTGTCGGCGCGTCGGGTCTTGCAATATACACCCCCCACCCCTCTTTCTCACTCTCCCGCTCGCTTTCTTCCTCTTTTACTGTCAGGCAAGAACTTTTCCTTTTCCTCTTTCCCGTGCCGCTCCTTATAAACTCTAAACCACTCAGAGTTGTGGCTCATTTCTGTTAAATCCCACCGAGGCAGATTAGGATAAAATTTCATCGACAGCCCGGGTGCCATTTATTTGTTGCATTTGTTGTGGGGAGCACATAGCACCGTTGTGAGGCACGTGGCAAGGCCAGAGGGGCTGGGGGCTCGGCTCATCGTGGGCTGTCGGAGCGCGAGGGGCGCCTGGATGCCTTCTAGTCGACACGACGAGTTCCTGGCTCGGCTCACATCGTCGCGGCGGTGGGCCCCCCCGGCCCCGTGGCTCGGCCGGGCTCGGATCTTGCTCGACTCGGCTCGGCTGACGGGCTCAAGGGATTCAGGGACTTACTTGATCCATCTGCCCGTGCCGAGCCAGGCCAGACAGGCCGTGGGCGAGGACCAAGCCTGGGCCACGAAATGGGATGGAAAGGGAAAAGGGCAGGGGGGAGGGGGAGGGGAGTCTCGGTCAGCAGCACAGTGACAAAGAGTCCATTCTAATGTCCCTTATTGGAACTCCACGTGTGTGTGTGAGCGCGCGCGCGCGATCCGAGACCCTCCCTAAGCAAGTTTGTCAAACCCATAGTCTTCTGACGCACAACGGCGTCACGGCCAGCGCAGGGCAGAACCCCGAACATGTTCAGCACAGTTTCTAAAGCTACTTTCGAATAAACAGAAGTGTGTGACGTAGCGCCGCTGGGCGCGCTCCGGTTCTCTTTGCCGAGCTGTGGGGGTGAGGGAGAGAGAGAAAGAGGGTGAGGAAGATCGAGGGAGCGAGCGAGCGAGCGAGGGAGGGAGGGGGAGAAAGGAGTGTTTTTTCCTTTTTTGAAGTGATTTAAACACTTCCTAAAGCCTAAAAAGATTTGAACCAAGTAGATGTAATGCTAAAAATCGCCAAATTCGCAGTTTTTTTCGATTCGTATAATGGCGATTTGTTTAGTTTTTGAAGAGGAATATGAAAAAAAAAAAAAATATGCCGGACAAGCTCGTCAATTTGCCTTCCTCCCGGGGGCCAAGAGGTGCGTTTTTCAGGCCCCAGCCCAGAGTGTCTATTTTTTCAGTTTGTAGAACGCTAGTGTGGCCCGAGGCCTATCTTTTGGGCTGGCTTAATTGCCTACATGTGTGAAGAATCCTAAACGATGAAATCCGGCCTTGGGGGGCAGTTTGCCTACTCCCCAGGAGGAGCACATGTATAGTGATAGTCACTCGAAGAAAATCGGGTTGTTGTTGTTTTTTACCATCCTGGGGCACCACTTGATTTTTCAGATTTTTATCTGATTTTCCTAGGTTTTTCTTGATTTATTCTTATCTGTTTTGTTTTTGGAGGGTGGACACTGATTTTTTTTTTTTATTGAAGTCCTCGGCTCGGGGACAAACGCAACGTGGCAGGTCGGCGGTGCGGCCGGCCGGTCACGGGGCTGGGCTGGCTGGCCCTATTATCAAACCTTTGTCGATTCGGCCGCTACAAAAGGCAGGCGGGTGGCCTTTGACATGGGAAACACATCAGCGGCGCCCGGCCCGGCCCGCAGGGCCCCGGCCTGGCGGCGCGTGTCGGCGCTCGAGTCTCGCGCGCCTGCGCCCCACGCGCCCTCGGCCGACCCTCGACATGGCCAACCAACGAGCTGTCCAACACGCGGCAGTGACGGCGCTGGTAGATGGTTGTCCAGGTGTCCGTGGGTAGGGGGG